CATCAATTCTAAAACTACCTGCCAGCAAAAACAGCTTAATTTATCCGGATGATGTGGTGGGTGTCCAAAATTTTCAAATATAATAAAGTATTTAAATAGGTGAAAGTGCTATTTACATAAAACAGTATTTACATAGCAGCTAAATATGGGATGCAATCTATACTTGTGTAAAGTGTATTTTCAAATAACAGAAATTAGAAAGTCCTGAGTTACACTGCAATTCCCTGAAACCAGTGGAGCGGTGTGCAGATTAGTGGCTTCCTGTACCCAGTGGTAATCAGGTCAAGAAGATTTTAAAGCACTGCCATTGATCTATGCGTTAGTGGGTATATCTTGCAGTTAAGCTATTAAAAAAAACAACATCTACTTTTAAGTAATCAGCTACGGATGTCGTGGGTATATCTTGCAGCTAAACTGTTTTTAAAAAATGTCTACTTTTAAGTAATCAGCTACGGATGTCAAATTTTCCTTCATGGAGTCTTACTCCATGAAGAATATTTCAAGATGAGCCAGGTCTAACACACTGTACTGTAGTTGGTAATGCTGTTTTGGAGGATTTTGCCATGTTAGGGTCTCCCTTTAACAATTCCCAGTGGAAAAGTGTGCACTAGTAAAGAATTCCCTCAGTTTTTCAACTGCTTTTTCAAAAATCCCATTATTCATTCTAATTTCATGTTACATTTACAGAGACTTTACGGGTTAGTGGAAAGCCTGCTTAAAACTTTCCTTTTTCATTAGGCAGAGAATCCCCATGCTGCAGCAATTATATTGTGGTAGGAATGTAAAGAAATTGGAAGAAAAGGAAAAAGTAAGTATTCAGAATGAAGAAGAAAAGCTATATATTGCTTATGCGTACAAAAAAAAACACATACCTTTGCATTTTACAATAAATAATGAGATTGTATTTAATGCATTTTAGACTATTATTTATAATAGAATAACGGTGCACCATCAAGTCAATTCTGACTTTTAGCAACCTTTTTCAGAGTTTTCCAGGTAGAGAATACTCAGAAGTGGTTTACCATTCCCATAATCACCCAATCTCCTGTGACTGTGCAGCTTGCCCGAGGTTATCAAGTTGCCCGAGGTGATCAGGGTGTTTTTGTTGTTATTATGGGTGTATTGAACACCCATAACAAAAAACATCCTGATCACCATAATCACCCAATCTCCTGAAAAGGACAAAAAACTGATCCCACAATTACAAATACTCAGCTCTACTCTCACCTGTCCGTCACAGCTGGGCAGGGGAACCTCAGCCAATGAGAGGACGGAGGGGGGTGCAGAAGTGGGAGGAGCTGGGTTATATAAGGTGTGTGTGAGGAGTTTTGAGAGATCAGAGCAGAGTTTTGAGAGATGAGTAATTAAAGTGATTGATAGTGAGTGAGAAAGAGCCTGTCAGTGAGGGAAAAGTCTGTGTGAGCTAGTGTCTGAGAAACAGTGATTGAATAATTGATTTATACCTGTGATTTACTCCTTTTATTTCTTGTAATCAATAAATACTTTATTTGTTTTGAAAAGAAACCCTTGTCCTTTTGATTTAAAGGATAGGTTGGTGGCAGCAAGTTTGTGAAGAGAAGTAGTGAACACTCTCATAGGCCTGGATGGGTAGAGGCTTGAGAGTGGCCTGCTACACTCAACTATCCCACACACTGCACCAAAACACAGACATAGTTCTAACTCCTGTCCTCTGAAGATGCCAGCCACAGATACTGGCAAAACATTAGGAAGAAAAACCTCCAGAACATGGCCAAACAGCCCGAAAAACCTACAACAACCATCACTATATGTTCTCTTCCCAAACTTCTCCCCCTAAACAAGCATTGGTGGCCGTGGTCACTCAGTAGTGAAAAAATGACAAGCTGAATATAAGCCAACAGTTTGATGGGGCTACAAAAAGGGTAAATGCTATTTTAGGTTGCATCATCATCATCATCATCATCATCATCATCATCATCATCATCATCATCATTATTATTATTATTATTATTATTATTATTATTATTATTATTAAAAAATTGTATTTATACCCCACCTATCTAGTCATTTCGACCACTCTAGTCTCCAAATCCCACAAGGTACTTGTTCCCCTCTATTTGGCAATGGTTAGGCCTCATTCTGAGTACTGTGTCCAGTTCTGGACACCCCACTTCAGGAAGGATGCTGATGAATTGGAACACGTTCAGAGGAAGGCAGTAAGGATGATCAGGGGGCTGGAAACCAAGCCCTATGAGGAAAGACTGAAAGAGCTGGACATGTTTAGCCTTGAGAAAGGAAGACTGGGGGGGTGGGTGGTATATGATAGCACTTTTCAAATATTTGAAAGACTGTCATTCAGAGGAGGGGCAGAATCTGTTCTCAATCATCCCAGAGTGCAGTACAACAATGGGCTCAAGTTACAGGAAGCCAGATTTGGGGTGAATATCAGGAAACACTGTTAACTGTGTGAAAACAGTATGGCAATGGAACCACTTCGAGAGGAAGTGAGTACTCCAATACTGGAGACTTTCAAGAAAAATTTAGACTATCACCAGTTAGATATTCTTTGATTTGCATTCCTGCATTGAGAAGGGGGTTGGACCTAATAGCCTTTTAGGTCCCTTCCAACTTCATGATTCTATGAGCCTTATTTCTGCACAAGCCCTAGAATAAACACTCTGTGGGCTCCTCATGCCCCAGCAGCCATCTTGCAGCAGAAAGCACATTTCAGGTGTGTTGTAGGATAACAAAGTACAAGTTTTTAGTTTTAGTGCCTGGCTTTCTATATTACCTGATTGGCTAGGTTTAACTTTTGCCTGGACCCCCATATTAACCTTGTGTCTGCTGCTGTTATCCAGAGGGACACAGAATCCCCTTCCCAGCCATTGCAAGGGATCAGCCATTGCAAGAGAACGTGTGCCTCATGTTTTGGCACAGAAAATTCAGGGCATAGAATGCTACTCATCTAGCAGTTTTGATCATGGTCCAGGCAGCAGGCTTACAACACAGGCCATGTGACTCCTATCCCTCTGTATTCAGAGGGATATACTGTACAGTAGTTCAGGATCTCAGAAGGAAAATGTTTAGCAGCTGCCATCTCTGCTCCCAGCATCTACATCTGAAATATGTGTTCCACTCCCACTAACGGTAATAAGGAGGCCCACTCTGAAAAAACAGGTCTACATTTAAGGTGAGAGGGAACATACCCATCACTTACTGTGGCCTACTTTACATATAAAGCAGAATAAAGTTATAGAGTAAAATGGACTGTTCCATCTGTAAATGCAAGAGAGTTATACCCCTTTTGTTGTTATGTGCCATCAAGTCACCTCCAACAACCCTACAAATTACTGCTTTCCAAGATGTCCTGTCCTCAGCTGCCCTGCTCAGTTCTTGCAGACTCAGGCCCACGGTCTTGGTTAGGAGGAAATCAATCTATCTCATATTCCGTCTTCCTCTCTTACTAGCATTATTGTCTTTTCCAGAGAATCATGTCTTGATGTGCCCAAAGTACAAGAGCCTCACTTTCAATATGTTTGTCTCCACAGTTCAGGCTTTATGTGATCTTGGAACTATTTGTTTGTATTTCTGGCAGACCAGAATATCTGCAGAACTCTCCTCCAGCACATTTCAAATGAATCATTTTTCCCCTGCCAGGTTTCTTAACCAGCTTTCACACTCATATATATATGGTGATTGGCTATGATACAATATCAGTTTTAGATTATCTTTATTCAAAAATTATATCCTTAAAAAACAACCAACTTCAAAGAAAGCCTATACCTGTACTCCCAAGCAAACTAAACCAGAGCACAGAGTGCTGTCCTCTGAAGATGCCGGCCACAGAGACTGGCGAAACGTTAGGAAGAACAACCTTCAGAACACGGCCAAAGAGCCCGAAAAACCCACAACCATTCGGTCCGGCTGTGAAAGCCTTTGTGAATACAAAATCCCGTCTGTGAAAGCCTTTGTGAATACAAAGCCTATTTGCATATAGAAAAAGAAGGGCAGGAGCAGAGTTTATGCTACAATCTGATGTGCTAGTTCTTTGCTGAGGCTATTCACTTCTAATCACGGAGGGGCATTCATTCAATTGTACAGTAGTGTTCAGATGCACATCTAGAAGCATACTTTTTCACCTTAGAAACAGTAGAAACAGGCTTGGGCACTATTAGGTAAAGGGAAAGGGTCCCCTTGACAATTTTTGTCCAGTCGTGTTCGACTCTAGGGGGCGGTGCTCATCCCCGTTTCCAAGCCATAGAGCCAGCGTTTTGTCCGAAGACAGTTTCCATGGTCACATGGCCAGTGCGACTTAGACACGGAACGCTGTTGCCTTCCCACCGAGGTGCTCCCTATTTATCTACTTGCATTGGCATGCTTTTGAACCGCTAGGTTGGCGGGAGCTGGGACAAGCGACGGGAGCTCCCTCCGTCGCGTGGATTCGATCTTACGACTGCTTGGTCTTCTGACCCTGCAGCACAGGCTTCTGCGGTTCAGCCCGCAGCGCCACCACGTCCCCTTGGGCACTATTATTTCAATTCTATTTCCAGTATGTTGGGAATAGTCCTCTCAGACCAATGGAACCACTGTTGGCAACGAAGCAAAACAAACTCCTAACTCGTGCCTGACACTTTCAGCTGTCCAAACAGTCGGGGTCCCAATTGTTCTTGGACGACAACTGCCAGATAGATGCCTTTACCACTAGCTGTGCTGGCCAAGATTTCCGGGAGTTGTAGTCCAAGAACATCTGGGAACCACTGCTTCAAAACATAGACGAGCAACTGGCGGCCCTCCAGAGGAACCCTCGGGTGCAGAGTCGAGTCTGCGGGTTGAGGAGGGCCACCCACTCTGCCCATAGCTCTAAGCCGCCCACTGTGGCCTAAAAGGCCCCTCCTTCCTGCTCCATGCGTGGCAACGGTAGCACCGCCAGCCTTAATGCAGAAGCGTTGCATCCGGTGATAAAACTACAGTTCCCAAAAGCCCTAGGGAAAGCGCCTTTAAAAACCAGGAAGTGACGTATACGCGGAGCTGCAGGGTTAAAGGGTAGAGGAACAGGAGGTTAGGGGCATGTGGCTTATCTCTTGAGACACCCTCTTCCCCCCCCCGGGGGGCCTATGATGGGCGCAATGCATGTGCGGTGACGCGAAGGAAGAGCATGGCAGCCGCGGGCAGCGAGCAGCAGCAAGAGCTCTTGGCTCTCATGCACCAGCACTTGGTCCAGACTGGCTACGAGAGAGCCGCGAAGGCGCTGTTGCAACAGAGCGGCCGGGTAAGGGGAGTCGTCTCCCACGTGGGTGGGAAAGGGTAGGAAGATAGGCGGGCAGGGGGGAGGGGGGGCTTTGTCCATTGCCGGCTGCCGCCGCCCCCTCGTCTTTCCCAGGATCGGGTGATAAGCTGGGCAGCGTCAGCCACGTGGGAAAATAGGACCCGCGCCCTCCCTGGTCTAAGCGGGCGACGGTAGCGCCCCTGCCTGCCTGCCCCTGGGAAAGGCTGCGTAGCTGCAGTGGGTTGTCTTCCTCGGCTTGAGTCTCCTCGGACTTGAATTGTGTGCGCGTGTTTATCCTGCTGTGCCAGTGCTAGAACTGTAGTAACGGTGCTGGCCTGCCTTAGAGGGCCATATGCCATCTTTCTGCCTTCATGACTGAGTGCCCCCTCTCATGGTCTGACCTACCTGACAGATTGTGGTGAAGATAAAAGTGGGTAGGGAGAGAGTCCTGAGATCCTTGGAGGAAAGGTGGCATAGAAATGTATAACTCGCCAACAAATAATTTCAGGCCACCCAGGACAGTTATTAAGCTAAGTAATAAGAGTAAGTGGAATATGATCTATAAATGCAAGGCATGCTTCAGTGTTTTAAACTGTCCCAGGGAGGTGCAGATTGCTAAAGTGTGAAGTGCTTATCTTGCAATGGTGTTGCTGGAATAAGAGGCAGTTCCTTTAAGGAGACATGCTCCTTAAACTTCTGTTTACCTTAATGAAGTTTGGTTTTGACCTGTATGCAATGCAGCTTTTCTCCACCTTGCATGGGGACCACCCACCACCATCATCCCCAGCCAGCCAGCTAGCTAGCTGGTCTGATAGTTCTTTCAAGTGGAATGTTTTCCAGATACTGTATGTGTAAGTAGACCAGTACTTGGCTTCCTTTAATTTCAGCTAGGCTGGAGTGATGACAGGTCAATGACTGCAGGATAAGCTGTTGTTTGAATGTGCAACATAAGCAGCTTCAGAGTAACCTTGCTTTGAATTGTAGCTCCTACTTATACAAGTTAGTTTAAACCTCGTTTGTAGTCAGCTGCCTTTGGATTGTGAGGGGTATGTAATTTTTTTGCTCTTCTGTCTGAATTTGGAATGTGAATTCTAATTCACATTGCCGCACTTGGACTGTGTAGAGTGGCTTCCAGCCTTGAGTCCGTAATTCGTCTTCTACTCCCAAAAGCTGTAGTAGCATCAGCGGTGAGGAATTCTGGGAGTTGGGGACCTACAGCCCAACTGATGTGTATGTAATTAATTAGTAAATAATCAGCAACTATAACATGCAGTTGTGTATAGTTTCTGTTGATCTTTATTCTTTTACTGAATATAGTTCAACAGTAATGTTCAGGAGTCAATATATAGAAATATATTGGAAGAGCCTTGGTTTGGTATGTGTTCATGAGATGGTTTACATAAGTTTTGGTGGTAAGTGCTGTGTGACGAATTCCTCTCATGAGAATTTTGACCATTTTTGTTCAATTAATATCTTTTAATCTTTCAAAAATATTTGAAAGAAAGAGAAACAGAGAAATTCTTGTGGTTGAAGTTAAAGGTTTTTGTGGTTACTTTATTTGCAAGGTGGCTGAAGTGAGGATGTGCATATCTTGGCTTTCCATATAGTAGCTGGCAACCATTCAAACCTTCCCAGTCTTTTGTTAAAACCCAGGGGAAGGTCTCATAACGTGACTTCTCCCATAGGGCCTTTTCAGCAACCGTGGTCAGCCGAGGTGCCTGCAGTGACAAAGAAATCTGTAACAGAGAGAAAAATAAATGCCACATCTGCACCTGCTTGTAATATTATGATAACATCCAGAAAAAAGAAATTCTAAAGGGCCACAAAAATTAGTGTTGTGATTTACTTCAGTAAACAAAGGGCAGAGTCCGATAAGCCAGTCCAAGGTCAGAAACGAAAGAATCAGTCAGAACCAGCAGCAATAATGCTAGAGTCAAGGAATCACAAAGAGAAGTCCAGGTCCGGTTCAAGGCAAATTACAGATAAAGACAACAGTTGTTTCCTACACCGATTCCTCATGGGAGCCTGCCTTATATGAGGAGTCCATGCCTTTACATTGCTCTCAGCTGGAGTCCTTAGCTAGGATCCTTCAGTAATTAGACCCTTAACTGAAACACTACATTAGGTACAAAATGAAACCCTCTTCTGTGGGAAACTTTTGGGGAAGCCAAAGTGCAATATGTGGCATACCACTAGCTTCACCAGAGCTGAACACAAAATATGCCGCTTATAGTACTCTCTGAAGTGTTTATAATATAAATTATACATGTTAGACATTCCCCCCTTAGCGGACTGGGTACTCCATTTACCATTCTCAGAAGGATTGAAGGCTGAATCAACCTCAAGTAGGCTACCAGAGCCCAGGATCAAACTCGGGTGATGAGCACAATCTTCACTGTAGTATAGCAGTATAACCACTATGCCAAAAAGCGGTCCTCCTCATGCCCTCCACAGAGCTTACAGTGAATGAACTGTGTTATTAACACAGAATGTCTCTACAGTGACCCCTCTCTGTAAAAAGTGTTTGGAATTCCTGAAGAAGTTGAATATTGAAGAATGTGAAGTATGAGTCAGTATCATTTCAGAAGATGAGAAATATTGAGAAACAATACTTTCTGAGAAATATTGTGAGATTTTTATTACTCCCTTAGACCTGGAAAGCCACTTGGCAGAATTGTTTCTAAAATTTCAGCGAACTTTTTAATGGCTTGTTTCCTGCCACCACCATCAAAATGTCATAGAACATTACTGTAAGTAGAGAGCATTATGGGAACAAAATGGTCAGTAGGTTGCTCACATGGTTGCTGTTGGTAACTCTTCTGGTGTCAAAGACAAAAACATATGGACAAGAAAGAATGAAATAATGTTGCAGTTGCTGCTAATTGTAAGCTTTGCCTTTGAGAAATTGTTGGAAAGTGTTTTCTTCCTCTGGAGGAGTTGGTGAAATTGGAAAAACAACAATTTTCCACCCCCAAAATAGGATGAAGAATTTTGAAAGCTCATTTGTGCAAAGCTGTGGTTGATGTCTTTGAACCTGCTAAGCTATTTAACACTGTAGCAAAGCATAATGATTTTAATGGATATTGAAGAGGATCATAGAGGACTCACCCAAGACTGGGTTTGTTTGGGTTTTTTTTGGCACCCATTTGACTCTTGGGGATCTCACTACCTCACAACAAAAATACTAAGAAAAAAAATAGCACCCTTAGAAGTCTTCTGGAATCGTGATGAGTCCTTTAAGTATAGCACAGCTTTCCCACTTGCTAACATAAATATTGTGGTGACCTGAAGCAATCTGAAAGCCCTGTCTGAGGCTGTTTCACAAATGAACATTTGCATACCTGTCTATGAGCTTGCCTTCACAAGTCTCTTTATGTTCTAGAGTTCCAAATAAAGTTGGCTTGTGGGTTGCAGCTTCTTTACAAAACTGATGCCAGCTGCATTCTATAAAACATGTGAACTCTACATTAGCAGTAAACCTGGTGGGTGTATTGCCATGGCTAAATATTGATTGTATTAAAAATATGAGTGATTGAGGAAGTGAGGGGTTAGTGTGGTCTTTGAGTGTAGCCTCAAGAAATAAGGGTTTTTAGAAAATCTAATAGTGATACTACTTAAACACACACTTGAGTAAACTGTCTTACTATCCTTGGGACTCAGCATAAACATTGTTTATGCTCAGGGTGGCTTAGCCACAACCCCGGATCTGTTGACTTGCTAAAGGCAATTGTGGTGAGTGGGCAATTGGTGGGAACATGAATTCCATATATACCAAATTCCCATATTTCTGCAGATGCTAATGTTTTTTCCCACCTGTCTTTAAAATAATTTATATAGCCCAAAATAGCTTGTAGTCTTACCTCAAAAATACTTAAACATTAATATTATGATTGAGGTCATGGAAGATTTGATGTTTTGAAAACTGGGTTGAGTGCAAGAATTTTCTGTGGTTTGTTCCACCTCTGAACTCATAGGCACCTGTAGTATGTTTCATTTTGTCCATATTTATGTATTTAAAATATTTTCTCCCACCTTTCTCCTTAAAAAGGATCCATTGTTATAAGACAATATTTGAAAGCATAAACAATAAATATGTTGTTGTTTAGTTGTTAAGTCATGTCTGACTCTTCGTGACCCCATGGACCAGAGCGCACCAGACCCTCCTGTCTTCCACTGCCTCCCAGAGACTGGTCAAATTCATGTTGGTCGCTTCGTTGACACTGTCCAACCGTCTCGTCCTCTGTCGTCCCCTTCTCCTCTTGCCTTCACACTTTCCCAACATCAGGGTCTTTTCCAGGGAGTCTTCTCCCTGGAAAAGTATACAAATACAAAATAGGATCAAACTAATGCCACTTTGAGAAGTGGGAACATCCATGAGGATAAGCTTGCCTGAAGAGAAAGGTTGTAGAGGTTCCATAGCTCTCGTCTCATCTCAGACATTATTTTTAGAGCTTTGGGGTCCTGCTTCTTCATCTAGAGCAGAGTTTCCCAATCTTGGGTAAACCAGGTGTTTTTGGACTGCAATTTCCAGAAGCCTTCACCACTAGGTGTGCTAATCAGGGTTTCTGGGAGTTGCTGTCCAAGAACAACTGGTTACCCACGGTTGGGAACCACTGATCTAGAGCAACACTTTCCAATGAGACCAGTTCAGGAATGGAGTTAATTACTCTGAGCACTGTTCTCCATTGGAGGTTTTAAAAAGAGATTGGTGGCTTTCTGTCAGAAATGATACAGTCGTGGGTTTTTTATTTTGGCAAAAGGATTGAGTCCTCTCAACTTTGTTGTTACCTGTCATCAAGTCATCTCCAGCTTATAGTGACCCTATGAGTGAGCAATCTCCAAAATCTCCTGTCCCTAGCAGCCTTGCTCAGGTCCTGCAGACTCAAGCTTGTGGTTTCCTTTAGGGAATCATTCCACTTCAGATTTGGTCTTCCTCTTTTCCTGCTGCCTTCAGCTGTTCCAAGCATTATTGTCATTTCCATAGAATCTTGCTTTCTCGTGATGTTCCCAAACTATGGACAGGCTTGGTTTCATCATTTTTGTTTCCGGAGGTAGTTCAGACTTGATTTGATCTAGGGCTCGTCTGTTTCTTTTTCTGGTGGTTCAGAGTATCTACTCCTTTCCAGAACTCTATCTCAAACAAATCATTTTTTTTCCTGTCAGCTTTCTAAGCTGTCTAGTTTTCTCATCCATACATGGTGGTTGGAAATAAGATAGTGTAGATGATCTTGATGGCCTCCAGTGACACGTTGTTAAAACTTGATGATCTTTTCTAGTTCCTTCATAGCTGCCCTTCCAATTCTGTTTCCTTCAGATTTCTTGCCTGCAGTCTCCATCAAAGTATACAAAATCTTTAACAGTTTCAATTTCTCTATTTTCAACACTAAAGTTGTGTCGCTCTTTTGTAGTTACAATTTTTTTTTCTACTCCGTGTTTAGCCGCAGGCCTGCTTTCTTCTTTCACTTTCACTAAAGGTTGATTCAGGTCATTGCTGCTTTCTGCAAGTAAGCTGGTGTCATCTGTATATGTTAGATTATTGATGTTTTTTCACCGATTTTCACTCCTCCTTTATCTGAATCTAGTCCATGACTATCTCTCATAGTCTAGTTGTTTACCCAAGTTTTTGAAAACCTCAGTCCTTCTTAATTTAAATTTTGAGGTTATTTTATGAAAATGTTAGGATGACTGTCAATTGTCTATTGCTGTTTGGTTTTTTATAGCTCTGCCACATTGTGATTTAGTAATGTTTTTAGACAAGCATTTTTAGGGTGGGTCCTTGCTGTTTGGATGTTTATTATTTTAAGTTTTGTTTGTACATTTATGTTACTTTTTGTAGTCTCCAAAAGTAGTGCCTTGGTATTTGATGAATGGAGTATAAGTTCAAAACAAAGTACAATGGTGCCCCGGATAGCGACGATAATCCATTCCGGATTAATCGTCGCTATCCGGAAACATCGCTAAACGGAACTAGTTGTGCATTTATAACTGTGGGATCAACTATGCCACAAACTGCACCAAAGCACATACAGAGTTCTGACTCCTGTCCTCTGAAGATGGCAGCCACAGAGACTGGCGAAATGTTAGGAAGAAAAACCTCCAGAACACAGCCAAACAGCCTGAAAAACCCACAACAACCATTGGATCCTGGTCGTGAAAGCCTTGGAGAATACATTTCCCAATGTTGTTTAAAAGTTGTGACAGTTCCTTACTATCTTTTCACTCTCGCTAATCTGTGTAAATTTAAAATGTGCTGGGCAGTTTAAAGTAATTTTTAAAGTATAAATTGGCACCAACCACACCTAGATATGTATGAAAACAGATTTTCCTTCTTTTACAGAAGACCTTCCCATCATCACCTGTTTCTCTGCAGGATATCTTTGCTCAATGGAAGAAGTAAGTTTTTAACAGTGATTGGATGGAATTGAAAAAGCAATTGTCTGCTGTTGCCTAATAAATATTTTTAGTATGATCCTTATTGTTATATATCCATACACTTTACTTAACTTTCTTTTTCTGCTATGGAAATATCACTTACAGAGCCAATATACAAGTGTAGACTAAATAAAGTGTTGTTAACTGGTGGTCTATTTTCAGACTGCAGTGTAATGGAGAAATGTGTCTAGCTAACTTTCAAAATAGAAGAATATTCCCACCCCCTTTTTTTTCTGGAGAGGTAAGATTAAGAGTTTACAGGTCTTAGTTTGTAAATCTCATAGACTTACCATGTGATTGTTAGCTGTTTGTACTTGGGTGAGTTTGAAAATGATTGCCACTATTATTCTCAGAAATCAATTGTGAAGATACGTGTGCCCAGAATACCTTTTTTTTTAAAGGAGACATCAGAGTAATAGCATTTACATAGGCATAAAAGTGTAGCCTTTTGTATTCTGGTGCCCTTTAGATTTACTGGCCAGTTTTTATCATTGCTAGTCAAATGGTTAGTGGCTTCTTTATCATACATAAGTATACTCTTATCAAATGCAAAAGGAGTGTTGCTTGGAAATTTATTCTAGAAAAAGAAAAATAAGAGTTCCCTATACTGGCAAGATGGGTTGGCAGGCCTTTGATACTTATTACTAACACCTAAGTAAAAATCTGTCCTGCCTGGTCTGAGTTACAGTTTGAAAAGAAGACCTTTCTTAAAAGAATATCACTCCCAGAACCTGGTATCCATCCTTGCTATGCTGGCTTTTGGATTTGGAAAATTGTACTAAAACACACACAACAGCCCTCTTTTCCACACTTCATGATACTAGGCTCTGTAAGGCAGCCTTCCCAAAATGTAGGGATGTTGGTGGCGCTGCGGGCTAAACCGCAGAAGCCTGTGCTGCAGGGTCAGAAGACCAAGCAGTTGTAAGATCGAATCCACGCGACCGAGTGAGCGCCCGTTGCTTGTCCCAGGTCCCGCCAACCTAGCGGTTCAAAAGCATGCAAGTGCAAGTAGATAAATAGGGACCACCTCGGTGGGAAGGTAACAGCGTTCCGTGTCTAAGTCGCACTGGCCACGTGACCACGGAAGATTGTCTTCGGACAAAACGCTGGCTCTATGGCTTGGAAATGGGGATGAGCACCACCCCCTAGAGTCGAACACGACTGGACAAAAAAATTGTCAAGGGGAACCTTTACCTTTAGGGATGTTGGACTGCAGCTCCTTTAGTCACCTCCATAGCCAGTGCCCTCCAACATAGATGGAGAATCCAAGTTTGGAGAAGGCTGTTTATGGCAGAGATGCATTTGTTTCTAAAATTAATACAAAAGAGAATAGAGAGACAGAAGTGTGCCCCATTTATTTTAGTAGCGCTTGTATTGGATATTTTGGGTGCAATGCAGAGTTCACTGAGAAAGCACAGGAAATAGAAAGATAGAGAAATGAACCTGAAAGAGTGGAAAGATCTGAGTTAAATTATGACATATCTGCTCACCTTTTAAAAATCACTTCTGAGTTGGGGACACTTATCCAGTTTTGTTTGAAATTTAATAGTCAGATACCCTGGGAAAAAAATCTGCAAGTTTTTTTATGTTTCATCTGCAATGCCACTTTGCAGAGATGTAAAACTGACTTTTCTTAACCATCAGGACCACTCTAGCCACCTAGAGTGGTCCTGATCCGACCAGATAGGCGGGATATAAATAAAATAAATAAAATAAGTAAAATAAATTAATTAAAATCAGTGGGGACCCCCCCCTCAAAGAATGCAAAACCAACACTGAAACTCACATTTTTTTCACCCTTGCACATGCCAGTCATTCCTCTTGTTAGAGAGTATTCACATGGTTCCCCCCTTGAATGGTCTTCGCATATGTTGAAAGAGTTGGATTTCTATGTATTCATTCTATACCTGCAAGAAGGGATCCTGGATGAGTAAGAACGTGTACACATAGAGCCTCTTCTCAATATCAAAGTGCTGGTCTTCGTGGCCATCTTGTATGGGCATTTGCCAAAACAATTATCTGAGTCCACGTTTTTGTACAAGACAAGAATTGCCAACCATTGTTCTTTGCTGCAGCAAAGAAGCTCTTCTTTATATGTAGTGATGATTCTTGTTCAAAAGAGACATGATGCACAGTATGTTGTTGAGATGTTGTAGAACATTTTAAAAAATATCCTTTTAAAGCTGGGTGTCCTTATTAACTCCTGTTTAATGCATTTGTGAAATCTGTCCAACAGAACTTATCCTCAAGTCCAGAAACAAAAGGTAGACGATACCAAGAAAAGCATTCCAGCAAAGATCAGAGTTTCTGATCCCAAGAGCAGCTCGGAGAGCTCAGATGAGGAGGAAGCAGCAAATGCTGTAAAAAATAAGAGTAAGCGTTATCTTTACAATTGAGTAAGTAATGTTGATGATAAAGCTTTGAGAAGAAAGATTCTTGTGTGACACAGCAATAACCAGGGTGCCATTTTTGCTGCAAGAAACTGAATTTCCAACTTCTCTACTGTAAAAACCTGATGAAGGCAGTTTTTACAGGGGAACACTATAGTAGGTGGCAGAATACAATACAAGTAGGAATCTTAGGACAGTGTTTAGGTATTGTTTACATATTAAAGTTCTTTTTAAAATCCTCCTCTTCAGCTGAAAAGGTTTCCAGAGTGGCTTACAAAGATAGAATAAGCTGATCCTCTTCTACGGGCTTTCAATCTTGAAAAACCTGACGCAAAACACAAACAAATTGAAACTTAATCCAAAGGAGACAGAGGTGCAGAAGGCAAGCTAGGATGATAGGGATTCTGACTGTGCTGGGTGAAGTTACATTCCTCCTGAAAAGGCAGGTCTGCAGTTTGTGTGTTTTCCTGGATGCATTGGTCTCGACGGTGGTCAGAAGTGCATTTATACAGTAAAAGCCAGTTTCACCTGTTCCTGGAGATCTCTGATCCAGCTACGATGATGAATGCCAATCTGTACTAGGGCAACACACACTACATGGCGCTGCCTTTCAAGAGTGTTTGGAAACTTCAGTGGGTTCAGAAAGTTGCCTGCTGCTGACTGCCTACCTGCTGACTAGCAGTGGTTACAGGGAGCCTATAACTCCCCGCTTCACTGACTGCCAGTCTGTTTCCAGGCCCAGTTCAAAGTGTTATAAAGCCCTGTACAGATTGGGTCCAGGCTATCTGCTGGACTGTGTCAGCCAGTATGAGTGTCCTTAAATTTTAAGATCTTCTGGGAAGAACCTTCTCCCAGTCCCACCATCTTCATAGGCCCCTTTGGTGTTGATGCAAGAAAGGGTCTTCTCAGTGGCTGTTTCAAGGCTTTGGGATGCTCTGCCTTGAAGTCAGGTTGACCCCCACCCCTGCTTTTCCTTCTGTTGTCTGGCAAAGACACTCTTTATCAGACAAGCTTTTAAGCGCCTACTATTCCCCAATAGTACATTACATAGCTGTTTTAATACATGATTTGAGACTTGCATGCTATTTAAAAATAGTTGGTGCAAATCAGAGAAGGTGGTTGAGAACCACTGACCTAGAAGGGTGTAAGTTTGTTCTTGAGGGGAGAAGTGTGTTATGCAATTTAAATGTTTCCAGCTAGAGGTAAATAAATATCTTGCAAATTTCTGAAGTTTATGCTCTACTGTTGCAGCTAACCTACCAGTGAATAACATTTCTGTGGCTAAAGCAGAAACTAGCAGTGAGGATGAAGATTCATCATCGGAAGAGGAAGCAGTTGCTGGGAAAGTGGTGAGTGGGAATCCCTTGTTAGTGTTAGAAATGGGGTAGAGCATACACTTTGCACAAAGATCCAGTGTGGTCCTTATGAAAGACTGTAACACAGTGGTGGATCATATTAATTCCGTGATCAATCCTGAGGAAAGGCTGACATATTTTCCATGTGTAAGATTCCCAACTGTGGTGTTCGCCCAGGTCATGAATATTAATATGCTATATGCCTGTACCAATGAGAGTGCTGGAGAGGCGGAGTCACGCGATATAAGAATCCCTGCAGCAGGAGGAGATTGGTAGATTGAGAAATTGGGGAGTTGGGAGATTAAGTTCTTGGATTGGATTGGAGTTTGGGGTAGAGAGAGGGGGTTGGCAGTTGAGTCTGGATGAAGTGGGATGTTTGCTTAAGAGTTAAAGACATTGATTGTACCTTCATCACCTGTAATAATAAACAACTTCTATTTGGTTCTATTTAAAATGACACATTGCCTGGACCTTGTTATTAACAATACATAATTTTGATGTAATTAACTGGTGGCAGTGACAAGACACATAGCTTATGCCATTTGACAGGTGAAACAACCAAGGGACAGGTGGGAATGTGACACCAACCTTTCCAGATAGGCCTGGGAAAGGGCTCTTCTTGAAACTCAAGGCAGCCACTGCCAGTCGGTGTTAGCGGTACTGGGCTGGGTGTATCAGTGTTGTTTGACAGTAAAAGTAACTTCCTATGTGCCTAGATGGGGCAATGAGATTTGTGAGTATCAAGATGTTTTAGTCAGTGTGTGTGGTCCTGGGCAAGGCACACAGTGCCAGGTTGCCTTTAGAAGGAAATGGTAAACCACTTCTGAATACTCTGTACCTAGAAATCCTTGGAAAGGGTCATCATAAGTCAGAATTTACTTGATGGCACACTGTTATTATTTTATGAACGCGTATTTCTCAAAATCAGCTGTGTTTGTTGTGATCAACAGTGAGTGACTTTTCATCAACAACATTTACTATGATACAGAATATGAAAACACAGCACCCACCCGTCTAGTGGCAAACCACTACTCTCGGCAGCTTACAGAGGAAGATACAAGGGACATACAAGACAAATTTGAAGCTAAAGAATAAATAAATAAAAATAAAATTCAAGTAAAATAAGAAAACAACATAAGCATAAACTAATATCACATAGTAAATCCTCCACAAATGGTGACAACAGATCAATTGAAATTTACACAAAATGGGTCAAGTGGTCTCTCATGTGGGATGGGTGGACTTGAATGCCTAATTCAATAGAGCACATTATGCATAAGATTCACCCACCAGTGGCATGAAGAGGACAATCTCAGTGGAATTCTTCTTTTTCTCCCCCTTCCCAAATGTTCTTAGGTGAAAACACTTGGGACCGGAAACAAGACAACAGATTGCCTGCAACTTGCTGCACAGAAGACAAATTCCTTTCCAGGCAAAGGGGTGGCTGTAGCTGCAGTCCAGGCAAAAGAGCGACAGAAGAAAGCAGCTGTGAGTAAGCCGCTCCCTCCGTCCGTAGGAAGGCAGAATAAAGCCCCATCTGGTCAACAAGGGGCTGCTTTGCCGTCTCTCGGGGTGCAAAGGCAGACCAGAGTGCAGGCAGCTGCTGCAAAGAAGACGGCGAGCTCTGAAAACAGCAGCAGTAACAGCAGCAGCTCCACTGAGAGTGAGGAAGAGAAGACACTGGCCACAGTGAAGCTGCCGCCTCCAAAGTCAGGTAAAAAGCCAGTTGGCTGGAGACGTGTGTTGTTGCATGGCATGGCACGAGCAAGGCTCCGACGGTACTTGGCAAGGAACATGGGCCCATGTTCCTTGCCAAGTATTGCTGAGGGTCAGCTACAGTAGTTCCAGCTCTCTCTTTTCGATAAAATTGAAGGAAGCGGGTGTCGGTAGAAGGAAGAAATAAAGGATTTGAAGGATGCAAACTAAGGGCTCTCTAATGTATTAAAAAGCTGTGTCTAGGGTTTGGTCAGATGATGTCACTGCCAGGAGTCCCAGTTTTCTACACTTCTCCTCATTGGGGCAGGAATGGCTTTCATCTTTGCAATTCTGAGGCTGTAGGTAGCATTGTGTTCTTAATATAACACGACTCGCAGATTACTCATGACAGGTATACAGACAGAAAGGTAGGGTTTCCAGAGGAAGAACAAGGTGCAAAATATATATTCAGGAACAAAAAGTGCTGTCCTCGGAAGATGCCGGCCACAGAGACTGGCAAAACATCAGGAAGATGTTTTCAGAACACGGCCAAAGAGCCCGAAAAACTCACAACAACCCAAACTTGCCGTACTAACTGTAACCAAAGGTGTTTGAAAGGGTGGTACAGCTTGATCTGTGATGACCTGCATGCAGACATTTGCCTGCTGACATATAAGGCAGAAACGGGAATTGTTATACATAAACCGTAGTCGTTGATGCTAACCCAAAAGATTGTTAGACTTTTACCTTTGAATATCTAAGGGCTCCAAACATGGTCCTCTTGGTCAGGAATCCTAATAAGGTCATGTTTTCAATTAGAAAACCTCTGTCACGTCCTTCAGCCAAACACAGTTACACAGTTTTCTACTTCCAAGTGTGTACTGATGTTGAGGGGGAGGGATTTACGTATGTGCCTGAGGCTTAGGCAGGCAGGCAGACTGAGCTCAGAATAGGCTGGAATCCGCTTGTCTGTCTGTGTTTGGCAGAGTATATCTGGTTTGTGTTGTGCTGTTAGTGAAGATTTACTCCCTCCCCCCTCTCTCTTTCTAATACAGTGATGCCTCGCTAGACGATTACCTCACAAAACGACTTATTCACAAGATGATGAGTTTTTGCAATCGCTATACAGGCAGGCAGACTGAGCTCAGAATAGGCTGGAATCCGCTTGTCTGTCTGTGTTTGGCAGAGTATATCTGGTTTGTGTTGTGCTGTTAGTGAAGATTTACTCCCTCCCCCCTCTCTCTTTCTAATACAGTGATGCCTCGCTAGACGATTACCTCACAAAACGACTTATTCACAAGATGATGAGTTTTTGCAATCGCTATAGCACTTCGCACTTATTCACAGGATGATAAGTTTTTGCAATCGCTATAGCACTTCGCAAAACAGTTTTCACTATGGGTGATTTTTGCTAGACAATGTTTCGGTCCATGCTTTGCAACATGGGGGGTCGGGGTTTGGGACCGTTTTTCACAAGATGATTTTGACAGGGGGCGGGGTTTGGGACCGTTTTTCACGAGATGATTTTGACAGCTAGGTCCGCGACTTGCAAAACGGGTCTTTTCGGTACGGTTTTTCACAAGATAGCGATTTTGACAGCTGATCCGTGCTTCGCAAAATGGTTTTCTATGGGCTATTTTCGCAAGATGACTATTTTCCCCATTGGAAAACATTAAATATATTTCAATGTATTCCAATGGGGAATCACATTTCGCAAGATGATGTTTTCGCAAAACAGTGATTTTTGCGGAACGAATTAACATTGTCTTGCAAATCACCACTGTACTGTTATTTTTCACAAGCAGCTCTTTAGCCATAGTTTCTATTGTTATCCTTTTGTTACAAATGTAACATATTACTCCATATTTCAGATCTGAAGAAAGCAGAAAGTAGCAGTGAGGACTCAAGTGATGATTCTGACTCGGAAGAAGAATCACAGGCAGCAACAGTCCAGGTAGTTTGTTCAGTCTATAGCTGGAATGAGATGCTACATCCTGCATAAAGGTTCTTGTGTTATTTTCAAGTGACTTACTAAGCATGGTTTTAAGACAAAACAATGCTTTAAAAGAGGAGTGGGATTAGTACCGCCCTTTTATAACTAGGATGGATGATAGCAAATGGAAATTCTTGTTCAGTGGTAGGAGAGGAGGCAGATAGCACCTATTTCTGGGTCTGTCTGTTTCTTTGCAACACTCATCTATTTACTATTTATTTATTCCTTTCTCCATCCATGGTAGTTTTGCTTTCTACAACAAGTGGTATGCTTCCCTGGCTTCTCAACTGATCTTGCTTGTTTCCTTCTCTTGGTGGAGAAGGGAATTTTCACCACTTTTTCACTCCAGAGATTTCCAAGACAGTGCAGAGATAGATGTGCAAAAATTTCATTCTTCTTTGCCTCCAGTCAAAAGCAAACTCCTGCTTTCCAGGACTTGAGAAGCACTAGAGAGCAGCTGTTCTATGTGGCAATATACCAACAAGATTTTTCTGGTTCTTGCTCAGTCTTAGTTTATCAGATGTTCTACAGTTTGGAACACCAACTCACCTGTCTCTTACCTTCCCACTGAAAGCGAAAAGCTGCCATCCTTTGTGTCATTTGGGAGGAAAGCTGGCAGAGACATACTGAGGAGTGTATCAGGATGAATACTGGTGTGGGTATTTTGAAGTGTTGGGTCACCTTCACTATGTATGTTGTCCACTGTCTCTTACTATCCTCATTATTCTTTCTGTGCTTTTTAGAGGGCTTACTTTTCTGAGTTCCTTCCATGTATAGGAGTCCCTGTTACAAACTGACTCTGTTTATCTTCTTTAATTAAAGTTGTTATAGTCAAAACAGATGTGGCTTTCTCTCTGAAATTGTATGTTAAAATTGGCTTGCAATCTTATGTGTTAGTTAGCTTCCTGCTCTCATATGAACCAAATGGAAGGAATGTTCACACTGAGTCAAATTTATGATTCTGAATTTCAGTTTTCAAAAGAGGGATAATAACAGCAATATTCAAAGTTGTCAAGGAATTGAAGAAATCATCAGGTTTAGTTTCCTGGAGGGCCTATATTGTTGTTGATGATTTACTCCCCTTTTAATCCAAGACAATTAATTGCATTGAGAATTTTTCACTTCCCCTAATTGCTGCATGTTCATGTCACCCGTTCTTTTTATCCTCCTTACTAGGCAAAGCCAGGCGTGCCGAGTACACAGGTCAGTTCAACGCTGGCAAAAAGCTCACCAGCCACTATTGCACTTTCAAAAGCAAGTGCAGTAAAGGTACCTCCAGCCAAGGTGAAAGCAAACCAAGTTAGCACAGGAGCCGGAAGTGCATCTAAAACAGCAGAGTCAACAGACAGTTCAGATACAAGTGACTCATCAGACAGTGAAGATGAGGAACCATCTTCAGCAGCACAGGTGAGATGCACCAGGGACATTTGCTCTCTCTGTCTGTTTCTAGGATCTGGAATTCATAGGCACAGAAGTAAAGGGTTAATAGATTGAAAATGGACTATGACCTGTAAAACACTTCCTGGAACATTTTTGTCCTCTTCCGTACCATTTGTTCATCCAAGGATCAACAATGTGATGTAAGCCCATAAAGCCAAACTATCTCAAACAATCGTATCAAAATTCATAAGTTGTGATAATTGCAGGCAAGGTCAGCTCATCTATTTCTACAAGCTTTCCTTATCTACATTGCTTCTATGTTCCATACTCACAAAATTTCTTCCAAGAAGAAACAAGTAAAATGTATTTGAACCAGTGTTAAAATGTGAGCAAACTGTAGGCACAGATATTTAAATTCTTCCTTGCAACTTGCAAGAGGATGCAAGTGTTAAAACTTAAGTTATAGACACAATGTAAGTCATACTTGAATATAAACTCCATGAGTACAGTGGTGCCCCGCATAGCGACGATAATCCGTTCCGAAAAAATCATCACTATACGGATTCGTTGCTATGCGGGGCGAAAAACCTCATAGGAACACATTAAAAGACGTTTAATGCATTCCTGTGGGGGAAAAGCTCACCTTTAACCAAAAATCCTCCATCCGGCAGCCAATTTCGGTGCCTCTAAAGCGAGGTAACACAGCGGGCGGCCATTTTGGAACCGCCGGTCAGCTGTTCGGCGCTCTCTCTCTCTCTCCACCCCTTGCAGGTCCAGCCTGGGCAGGGAGACTGAGGCCAGGGTCTCCCTGCCCAGGCTGGAGTTGCGAGGGGGGAGAGAGAGAGAGCGCCGAAGTCAGCAGGGGATTTGCGAAGCTGGCTTCCCCGCGATCTTTGAAACACCCGCTCATCAGTTGTGCTTCGGGCTGGCTCTCTCAGAGCCAGCCCGAAGCACAACTGATGAGCGGGTGTTTCAAAGATCGCGGGGAAGCCGGCTTCGCAAACCCCACGCTCTCTCTCTCCCCTTGCAGGTCCAGCCTGGGCAAGGAGACTGAGGCATTGCGCCGCCATGGCCAAGGTGGCGGCATGGTGCCTCCGTCTCCCTGGCCAGGCTGGAGTTGCAAGGGGGTGGGAGAGAGAGAGAGCATGCACGCCGAAGTCCGCGGGGGTTTGTGAAGCTGGCTTCCCTGCTATCTTTGCAAACACCCACCCATCAGCTGTGCTTCGGGGCTCTCTTTCTGCAGGGGCCTTTGGGATGATCGTGGGGAAGCGCTTCCCCACGATCATCGCAAAGCGATTTCCCCTCATTTAAAACATCGCAATGCGATGGTTTTTGCAATCGCAAATACTCCATCGCTATGCGGATTCATCGTTAAACGGGGCGCTCGTTAAGCAAGGCGCCACTGTATCTCCTTTAAGCGTAAAATTCTTTTACTAGTAAAAATGAACAATGAGAATGTTTCAGATACATTCTAAAAGTATAAGAATTTATAGCCTAACAAGGCACATTTAAAAACAAAAGACAGAAAATACATCTTTAAAATAATAAAATTATTAGTATATACATTGTGTAAGGTAAAAAGCATTATCTTTATTTTAAAAGCATGGAAAAATATCAGAGTTTTCATAAGTAAAAATATATTAAGGAAATAGTTTCTCTAGCCCCCAAGCATATCAGGAACACACACAGAGAAAATATTTCTAAAAGTTTTCACCCAGCCAAGCCATGTTAAAATGAATATAAAATCTATTGTTGATTTTTCTGGTTCCACTTTGCTATCTTTTCTGGTCCTCTAATGACATTCACCTGGCATTACTTTTGTTCTTTCTTGGAAGGAATATCTGGCTATCTCTCCTCAACTGTTTTTATACCCTTAAGAATTCTAAAAACAGCCTATCTCATCACCCAGGTTTTCTAACAGTAGGAAATTACCATGTGTTCTAGCCCAAGGCAAACAAACCTTCATTCACTTTATTCCTGTTCAGTTTCCTTAAGTCAGCAACATTCTTTCCATAAACATCTGTGTTTTGACTAAATGCTCAACCTTACAAGAGATTTTTGTTACTTAGCAATAATCATGACGAAAATTGTAGAGTTTATTAATTTACACTTTTTCAAAATATGCCAGTATTGAATTACAAATGCCATGTCTTTTAAACCACAGATTACATTGCGCTTTTTTTTACCTTACACACAAAATCTGTAACACAAAATGAAGTACTTCAAAGTGAGTTTGATTTGGAAACAACTATGACTTGATAAAAATTATTACTTCAAGAACCACATACTTTCAAATTTTATATACCTTCCAGGCACTTTTCCTGTTCCCATGAATTCAGATTTTCAAATGTTGATAGAATGGTTACTTTTTGTAGCTCCATTTTAGTGTATCAGTGCCACTGTCGATTTTTAATGGGGACAGTCCAGGTCTTAGACCCCTTCCAGGCACTTTTCCTGTTCCCATGAATTCAGATTTTCAAATGTTGATAGAATGGTTACTTTTTGTAGCTCCATTTTAGTGTATCAATCTGTCGACTTTTAATGGGGACAGTCCAGGTCTTAGACCCCACTAGAACATATCTATTTAATCAAGTCCGATTGGTCCAATGAGCCTAGTTTGGCTGAGACACGAGTTTAGCTCAGCACTGCAAGCTGTTTTCAAATAAAGAAAAATAGATTATAAAATATTTCAAGGGAATTGGTTATTACTATTTATTTAAACAAAACTGGTACTAAAAATACTAATACAGCAACCATCAGGGAATAGATAAATCAATGCCTGTATTCTCTAAATCCTGAAAACTGCATCACTGAACTTCATCTTGATCAATTTACACTGGAATTATGTAAAAATTCATGATAAGAACTACCTCATTTCATGAATTTCTATAGTCTGAGACTGAGAATGAGGCTCCTCCGGTTCCAGTGAGCCAGAAGGTTTGGAGTTAATTTGAAATAATGGGGTTTTGGTGTTTCAGATTCCACATAGGTTAATGTTTCCACCTAGGGTAATGTGGTTGGTTGTTTTGTCCATCTTTCATCCTTTACTCCATGTATGTAGAACTTTCCTGTATGTACTTCTTGATCAGTATGGGACTTGGCTAGCTCTCCTAATTGTTGGAGGTTCACGCCACCCATTCTTTTTATCCTCCTCACTAGGCAAAGCCAGGCGTGCCGAGTACACAGGTCAGTTCAACGCTGGCAAAAAGCTCACCAGCCACTATTGCACTTTCAAAAGCAAGTGCAGTAAAGGTACCTCCAGCCAAGGTGAAAGCAAACCAAGTTTGCACAGGAGCCGGAAGTGCAGCTAGAACTACAGAGTCAACAGACAGTTCGGGTTCAAGTGACTCATCAGACAGTGAAGATGAGGAACCATCTTCAGCAGCACAGGTGAGATGCACCAGGGACATTTACCTTGTTTTTGTTGTTGTTTTTAAGGTCTAGAATTCGTAGGCACGATATTAAATGGTTAATGGTTTGAAAATGGGCTGTATTAATACAACACTTTTGTCATTTTCTGTACTATTTGTTGATTGAAGGATCAACAATGCAATCTAAGCCCATAATGTCAATTTCTGCAAATGCTAATATTTGCCAGTAAACTACGCAGCCATTCTTCAGATGGCTAGTTTCGAATTATACTGATTTTTAGCTACATTCTATGCTAATATCTTTTAATGGATCAACAATGTGATGTAAACCCATAAAACCAAACTATCTCCAAACAATCATATCAAAATTCATAAGCATCACTTTCTTCATTGTTGCAATAATTCCAGGCAAGATCAGCTCATCTATTTCTACAAGCTTTCCTTATGTACATTGCTTGTATGTTCCATACTCACAACATTTCTTCCAAGAAGAAACAAGTAAAATATATTTAAAGGAGTCTTAAAAATGTGAGAAAACTGTAGGCACAGATATTTAAAATTCTTCCTTGCAACTTGTAAAGGTTTTGACCCAGCCAAGCCATGTTAAAATGTATGGAAAATCCATTGTTGATTTTTCTGGATCCATTTAGCTATCTTTTCTGCTCCTCTAATGACATTCACCTGTCATTACTTTTGTTCCTTCTTGAAAGGAATATCTGCCTATCTATCCTCAACTGTTTTTGTACCCTTAAGAATTCTAAAAACATTGTTGTTGTAGGTTTATCAAGCTGTTTGGCCATGTTCTGGAGGTTTTTCTTCCTAATGTTTTACCAGTCTCTGCGGCTGGCATCTTCAGAGGACAGGAGTTAGAACTCTGTCTGTGTTCTGCTGTAGTGCATGGGATAGTTGAGTATTTGTAGCTGTGGGATCAGCTTTTTTTCCTTTTGGGGAGATTGGGTGATTATGGTGATCAGGGTTTTTTGTTGTTATGGGTGTATTGCTGTGATAAAAAGGGAAGATTACCTGTCACTGTGTTTGTTTAGTATATTTTATTTTCCCGAAATTAATACAACAATACAAAATACTTACTAACAATCTAAAACACAGTGCATCCCATACCCGCGTGACCCTCTGGAGCAATTCTTTTATTACAAACCTCCTTTCCAAAATTGTATTGATTGTTCCTTAAAGGCTTTCCTTTTTCTTTCACTAATACAAATTCAATAGATCTATCCCAAATAGCATAAAAATATTTAAACTTATTTCTCCTCTTTTCATCTTAAGTTCAGTAGTCAATTTGTCATTTAACGCAATATCTCATACTTCGTTATACCAATTTTCTAATTAATACTATGTTTGTCTTTCCAGTGTCTAGCTATTAATATTCTAGTACTTGTCATAAAATTAGAAATCAATTCCTTTGAGCAATAATCAAGTTCTGTCTTATCAAAAATTGATGGCAGAGCAATTTTAGAGTTAAATTCAATATCTTTTCCAAATATATCACATATTTCCTCAAAATTAATTTCCAAAATTTCTGAATCAATTTACAATCCAACCACATATGATAATACGTGCCAATATCTTCATTATATTTCCAACAGGCCTTAGAATTATCTGATTTTATTATGTTCAATTTCACCAGAGTCATGTACC